TGTATCACTAGTGGAGACAACTGTAACTATGAGCAAATAAACCAACTTTTCCCACTTTACAAAGAAAACAATGCTAAAAGAAATACGTGTCGGGAATGCATCAATACCATGATATCTTCAAAAAATGAGGGAAAAAATTTATGGCATCGACTGACTGTGAGTACCTGATCAAAAGCTCTCCAAGACTTCCACTGGAACTGTTCATCAATGTATTCTTCAGCATTTGCAAGCTGCCAAAAAATTATCCAATAATCATACAAACAACTGAGATAAAATTGTATTGGACCCTTACATATCTGAGAGAGAACACACACTCTCTCTCTTATTCTGAAATTAAGTTAAAACGCCTTTTATTTTTCTAAAGGGGGGTCTAAGACAAATTATATTTGACACCGCAACCTCTCATTTGACACCCTAATTGCTTGCGTAATACAAGTTCATACGAAATAGAACCCTAATGCAGAACAACATGTCATGTTGGTGCAAAAACCTAATGACATCTCTCTATAAATATAACACAACAACAATATCCTTCTCACAAACTCAGGGTTGGTTGCATAGTTATGTGTCTGATATTTTGCATATATGACTTCCTTAAAACGTTTTTAGTTTACCTTTATACACTGATGTTTCAAAGAGAAGAAGAAATAACGTTTTACGGCATTACATAGAGAAAAGAACTAATCTATGAATATCCTGCATTTTTCACGTATCCACACACTAGGAGATCAGATATGTGAAAACATTTCCACAACAGAGAAGACACCTCACCCATTCCCAAGATCGTGTCATATTACAGTGAACACACTTTCACAAAGACGAGAACTAGCAGTCTAGCAACCATAAGTCTAGATATTAAATTAAAATTAAAAGTTGTGGAGTTACATACAAGTTCATGTATGAATCAACTGATACGAGAAACCTAAAAGTAAAGCCAAAGAGAGTAAAATTAACCTCTAGATAATGAAAACTGTGCACACTGTACAAATATGTAGAAGTTGAGAGGAGGATAAGAGAGCTGACGACCTTTGTACTCCATTCCCCACTTGAGTTTTACCATTACAAGCTTCCCAGTCAAATTGTTGAAAAATGGCTTAGGGTTATCAGGTACAGTCTACAAGCATAACAAATGAAAAAGTAGTACATAGTTTCTGTTGGAACCTAATCTATATCCATTCAGCAGCAGTAAAATATATGTGTTTTCCAGATCAAGCATGTGTAACTATTAGAAATCGAAAGGATTAAAA